GCAGGACCGGGCAGTGTTTCGTTCTGTTGTACACAGGGTCACTATGAGTCAGAATAGACTCGAGGACACCCAACAACAACATAGATGAGAAAACCGAGGTTGAGGCAGAATATTGGAAGACAAGTTTAAAAACAAGAAGCGTGCTCTTTATTCATCTCGTACCTCTGCTGCACGTTGGCAGGCCTCTCAGCTCTCTTGAGCCTTGGTTTTCTTATCAAGCTTAAAGGTACTTCTCAGGTTTACCCCCAACAGTAAGTGCAGCGTCTGCTACTCCCTCTCGCAGTGAAGTTTCCCTGAATATTTCTGGCTGTCCCCAGGGCATATCACCCATACCCTACAAGTATTATCAGCCTCTACCTGATATCAGCTATTTTTCCTCCTCTTTTTTTTTTTTTTTCAATTTTCTCTTGCTCTGTTGTCCACGTAGCCCCGGCCACTGCTGTGTGGGCTGCCCCCATTTCTGGGGTTGCTGTGCCCCAAGTCTCAGAAGCCACCAATTCAATAGAGCATCTCACCCACCGGCATGGGAAGCTTCCGCCCTCTGCTCCATCCCTTTTCATTAGCCATTAATTCATTCAACAGTTCTTATTGATAGCCTACACGTGCCAGGCATTGTACTTGATTCAGGTGCACTACACAGACACTTTCCCTGCCTTCACCAACATTATATTCAAGAAGGGAAAAGAGACAATAAATGGGTAAATTACAATACAGTGTCTACAAAGTCTGGAAACATTGGCAAATAGACATAATATCAGTAAGGACATCTTCCATCTCTAAGACAAAACATTAACTGTGTGTCTTAGTTTCTTAGTGCTGCTGTAACACAAACACCACAAGTGGGTGGCTTTAAGGAACGGAATGTATTTTCTCATAGTTCAGGGTGTTAGAAGTCCAGATTTAGGGTGTGACTCTACAGGAAGGTCCTTCTTTGTCTATTTCGGCTTCTAGCAGCCAGCAATCCTTGGAGTTCCTGGGCTTGTAGATTCATCTGCCTCCTTCATCATCAGATAGTGTCTGTCTTCCCCCTGTATGTGCTTTCCTCTGTGTCTAACCTGCTCTTTTTATAACAGAAGTGATGAGGTTTCGAACTCACCCTACACTCATATGGCCTCTTTAACATAACAAAGAAAACCCTATTTCCAAATAAGATTATATTTGTAGGAATAGGGGTTAGGACTCCAACACCTATTTTTAGGGGCAGTTCTACTCTGTCCTATAGAGTCGCCATGAGTCGGAATCGACTCGACGGCTATGGGTTGTTGTTGTTGTTTTTTTTTTAATTCAACCTGTAGCACTGTTTCCAGACTTCATGAACATGCTGTACAATGTGATGAGTATTATGATGGGTGAATTACAGGGTGAAATGGGAACAGACATCTATTCTAACCTAAGGGGTCAGGGAAGGCAGCCTGCAAGAAGAGACAATTAAGCTGAGACCTGGAGGATGAGTTAAGAATTGGCTTCAGTAGGCGGAGGGGCAGTGGGGCTGTTATGTGCAGGATCCCATGGCCAAGCTTGTTTCTTCATCAAGGTGCTGATTTTGAAGGCCCCAAGGAGACCTGGCCAGTGCCCCCCAGGGCTTTCTGCTTCAGGACCTCTCTCTCCCCAGGATGTTTTTGTGAGTGACTGACAGTAAGGCAAGAGGCTCTGAGGTGCACAAATGGTTAAATGCTTGGCTACCAACTGAAAGGTTAGCAGTTCAAATCCACCCAGAGGTGCCTTGGAAGAAAGGCCAGGCAATCTACTTCCTAAAGATCTCACACACACAAAAACCCATTGTCAGAATCAAGTTGATTCCGACTCAGAGCCACCCTATCGGACAGGGTAGAACTGCCACCATAGAGCTTCCAAGGCTGTAATCTTTATAAAAGCAAACTGCCACATCTTTCTCCCGCAGAGCAGCTGGTGAGTTTGAATTGCCAACCTTTCGGTTAGCAGCCAAGCGCTTTAACCACTGCACCACCAAGGCTCCTCTAAAGATCACAGTTACTGTAAACCCTACAGAGCACAGTTCTACTCTGAAACATGTGGGGTCACCGTGAGTCGGAATCAACTGGACAGCAAGTAGTTTGAGAGCAGCCCAGAGCCCTGTTCCTTAAGACAAAAAAATAAAAGCATTTTTCCCTCCGTTCGATTCTCTGCCAGCAGGTGCTCTTTCTCCAGGCTTGATTTCCACCTTGATTTCCATAATCCACCCATTTGACTTAAGGACTGCATTTCAGTCTGAAGCATTCTCTACATGTCATCTGATGATTATACTAATATTTACCTCATCAAACGCTGATAAGGATTAAATGAGATAATGTAGGTCAACAGACCTCATAAACTGGAAGTACTCTATAATTGCCAGCTATTATTATTACTATTGTTAAAATGATTATAATAATTATTATTTCCACAGAAGTTATGTTATTAGCCCAAGGTCACGCAGAAAGTGTAGACACATAGAGCAGTCTACCTCAACAGTAAGCACACAGCGGAGCTCACAGCATTTCAAAGATTCATGCTCTTGGCTGCAAAACTCTCCGCATCCAGGTATCTTGTGCTGTGTTCAAGCTTCCAGGAGGACTGCCAAGTTACACAGCCTGGACCCTGCACCTCGCATACTGCAGCTCCTTCTTGGGTACACAGGTATGAGCTGCGGTTGCCAAGTTTTTCCAAAAGCACATTTTGCATTTATTTTGTTTAATTCTTACATTATGTTCCAGGCTCCTCCTAAATGCATTTGTTCGCAAAAAGAGCCACGAGGGGAAGTTCAGCCCACAAATAAGAATATAATTATTACATAGTTTAGCAGTGCCTGGGAGTCACCCGGGTATTCACTGGTACTCCACAATTCAATTGTCTCTCCTTCAAGACCACATTTAATAGGATAAACAATTTCCATTAAATGCAATAAACGTGAACCTGGGCTGTCATCTCCATAATCAACTCAAATTTCACATTAGAAGCAGTGGCTGTGATTGAGATTCAGAATTTAATTTGGCGGCGCTTGCTTCAATGTGCTTACGCTGGCTTCATGGGAGACTCCCCGTCAACCAAAGACACACCGCTCTTCCCTGTCTCTGGGGAATCTTAAAAGAAGATAGATTATAACTCAAGAAAATTATACGGCCTTGGTATAATGAAAGAGATAAAACATTATTGGGTTAGCCTCTTGAAATAACAGCAGACAGCTAAGCAATAATATTAAGCCAAACAAGGGCCCCAAACCCATCCGCTCAGTTGCTGGGGACATGGAGATGCAGCAAGGCAGACAGAGGCACTGCACTTGCGCTGCATTGCCTGAGAAGTAAACAGTCAGCTCCTGCCACTGGTTGTTCTATTGACTCAGTTCCAGATATCTGGTTGGGATGGACTGGTGGGTGACAGGGACCGGTACTTTGCTGTTGTGGACGTGTTAAGGACTCGGGCCCCAGAACTGAGCCAAGCAGCAAAGTTGAAGAAGATGATTGGCTGAAAACAAATTGGTTGAAAAAGAGTAGGATGAACCGATTCATCTTCAACTAACTGGTTTTTTCCCACCAATTTGATTTCAACAAACTCACTTAAAGCTTTGCAATCCTAAAGGAAGTGCCCAAGAGTAAAGAAAATCTTAAGGGATGCCTTAATATGATGGACTGAGAGAAATTAAGCTTAAATGATCAGTTGACTCAACCTCTTTTTGGTAATGTAGAAATTAACTGTCTTCTTACTCTCCTCTTCAAGCTCCCCTTCCCCCAAATGACATTTGCACAAAAGCATGAGTGTGCAGAGTAGAATTTACTGACAGTTCTGTGAAGGAGAGATAGGAGAGGAGGGAGAGGTGGGAGAGGAGGGAGAGAAGGGAGAGGAAGAAGAGGAGGGAGAGGAGAGGAGGGAGGG